ACTCACCTTGTCTGCCAGGATACTGATCTCCAAAAAGTGGAAAGAAGGTGTAACATGAAATACAGATATTCAGGAATAAAATGTTATAAATTCTATCTAATTCTATTTTCTCATCTTTTTAAATATTCATTACCTTATCCTTTTACTCTTTATTTTAAAAATGCATATATATTTATTTGTTTATTTATCTGCTCCAGGCCTTAGTTGCAGCACACAGGATCTTTACTTGCAGCATGTAAACTATTAGCACAGCATGTGGGATCTTGTTCCCTGACCAGGGATTGAACCCGGGCCCTCTATGCTGAGAGCGCATAGTCTTAGCCATTGGATCACCAGGGAAGTCTCATCTTATCCTTTTAAATCCTTTTATTTTGCAAAGTAAATAATCTATTACCAGGGCAGAATGCATATACCAGTTAAATACGTATATTGGACATACAGGCTCAGTAATTTTTATTCTGAAAAATATGAGATCAAAAGATCAGAAAGACTATTGCGGTAAAAATGTAGCCCTGGAGGGCAAGGATCTGATGTGTTGCACCATTGCAACTCCTGATGCAGAGAGAGCAAAGAGGAATTACGTAAACTCTGACACAACCTTGGACTTAAGTACCTCCCTCAAATGCCCAGGGCTTCCCTCATAGCTCAGTTGGTAAAGAGTCCACCTGCAATGCAAGAGACCCCAGTTCGATTCCTGCGTCGGGAAGATATGCTGGAGAAGGGATAGGCTACCCACTCCAGTATTCTGGCCTGGAGAATTTCACGGACTGTATAGTCCACGGGGTCACAAAGAGTCAGACACGACTGAGCGACTTTCACTTCACTATAAGTGCCCAGATGCTTCTGCAGGTGTGGAAGCTAAATATTTAAGCTTCCAATGAGAAATAGAGAGAACCAAACATCTTATACCTGTCCTACCATGAAGGACATATATGTTCAAATGTAGTATTTTTGCCCTGTAGAGTTGAAAGAAAAATTAGAAATCAGCTCGAAGATCAAATTACATGGGTATGTACTTCATCAACAGATGGAATCTTGCTATTAAGAAGGCATGGATTTTACTAAACTACTGAAGGTCATTTTACTTCAACTTATTTTAGAAAACCATGATGGAAACTAACAACGTCATATGGGGGAAAAGCGGTTATGGTTCATCTCAGGAAAACAAATAACTCTGGTCCTTTGAACTTCTCTCAGTAATATCATTAACTTTTTTGTTAGTTGTGTTTTCCTGAGTGCTGGAAGCTATAAATGCCTGGGAAGACCTTTCAAAAACACAAACCAGATCTGTACAAGCATAGCAAAGGTGAAATTAGTGACATTTCCAGCCTGAAGTCCAAGTGACGTCAATGCTAAGACTGTTTCTTTGTACAGAAATCACTGACAAGAAGGTCATGGCATTTCTACACTCTATTGCACCAACTGCATACCTGTCTGTGACTTTCACGCACGTGTTCCTCTCTGCCATGGCCGGCTAGAGCCTCCCTGTTGCATTGCCAGAGTTTAGGGTATTGCCTGACACACAGCTAGTATCCAGTATGTGTTTTTGCAGAGGAAGGGACCGTGTATTTATTCTTTGGACCATGTATTTATTATAATGTACTAAATAAATAAAGGGAGAAGGATAAAAGTGTTTTAAATACATTAAGAATTCTTGAAACTCAACAACAAAAAGACAAGTATCTGAATTAAAAAGAACAAATTGGGGGCTTCCCTGGCAACTCAGCGGTGAAGAGTCATCTGCCAAGGTGGGAGACACAGGTTCGATCCCTCATGTGGGAAGATCCCACATGCCACGGAGCAACGAAGCCCGTGTGCCACAACTATGGAGCCTGTGCGCTAGATCCTGGGAACCACAACTTCTGAGACTTCTCGCTGCAACTACTAAAGCCCGCACACCCAAGAGACCCTGATCTACAATGAGAGAAGCCACCACAATGAGAAGCTCCAGCATCACGAGTATTGATAGAAGGGAGCCCCTGCTCGCCTCAACTAGAGAAAAGCCTGAAAGCAGCAATGAAGATCCAGCACAGCCATAAATAAATAAAATTTTTTAAAAAAAGAACAAAATGAGGGACTTCCCTGGTGGTCCAGCAGCTAAGACTCCGAGCTCCCAATGCAGAGGGCCCAGGTTCAGTCTGTGATCAGAGAACTAGATCCCACATGCCGCAACTAAAGATTACGCCTACAACAACTAAGACCCAATGCAGCCAAGTAAATAAGTAATAAACATTTTTTTCAGAAAAAAATAAAAAAGAACAAATAATTCCAATGGACATTTCTCCAACGAAGATACACAAATGGCAGCATGCACTTGAAAAGATACTCAATATCATCAGTTATTTGTTGTTGCTGTTTAGTCACTAAGTCGTGTCTGACTTTTTTTTTAATTATTTTTAATTGAAGGATAATTGCTTTACAGAATTTTGTTTTCTGCCAAATATCAACATGAATAAGCCACAGGTATACATATGTCCCCTCCCTCCTGAAACTCCCTCTCATTGCCCCAAAGAAAGGCAATGCCAAAGAATGCTCAAACTACTGCACAATTGCACTCATCTCACACGCTAGCAAAGTAATGCTCAAAATTCTCCAAGCCAGGCTTCAACAGTACGTGAACTGTGAACTTCCAGATGTTCAAGCTGGATTTAGAAGAGGCAGAGGAATCAGAGATCAAATTGTCAGCATCTGTTGGATCATCAAAAAAGTAAGAGAGTTCCAGAAAAGCATCTACTTCTGCTTTATTTACTATGTCAAAGCCTTTGACTGTGTGGATCACAGCAAACTGCGGAAAATTCTGAAAGAGAAGGGAATACCAGACTACCTGACCTGCCTCCTGAGAAATCTGTACGCAGGTCAAGAACAGTTAGAACTGGACATGGAACAACAGACTGGTTCCAAATTGGGAAAGGAGTACATCAAGGCTATACATTGTCACCCTGCTTATTTAACTTATATGCAGAGTACATCATGAGAAATGCTGGGCTGGAGGAAGCACAAGCTGGAATCAAGATTGCCAGGAGAAATATCAATAACCTCAGATANCCCAGAGGGATCGGGTGGAGAGGGAGGTGGGAGGGGGGACTGGGATGGGGAATACATGTAAATCCATGGCTAATTCATTTCAACGTATAACAAAAACTACTGTAATGATGTAAAGTAATTAGCCTCCAACTAATAAAAATAAAAAAAAAAGAAAAAGGAAAAAATAAAAAAATAAAAGACACTTCCTTCTTGGAAGGAAAGTTATGACCAACCTAGACATAATATTAAAAAGCAGAGACGTAACTTTGCCAATAAAAGTCTGTCTAGTCAAAGCTATGGTTTTTCCAGTGGTCATGTATGGATGTGAGAGTTGGACTATAAAGAAAGCTGAGCGCAGAAGAATCGATGCTTTTGAACTGTGGTGTTCGAGAAGACTCTTGAGAGTCCCTTGGACAGCAAGGAGATCCAACCAGTCCATCCTAAAGGAAATCAGTCCTGAATATTCTTGGAAGTACTGGTGCTGAAGCTGAAGCTCCAATACTGTGGCCACCTGATTGGAAGAAGTGACTCATTGGAAAAGACCCTGATGCTGGGAAAAATTGAAGGCGGGAGGAGAATGGGACGCCAGAGGATGAGATGGGTCGATGGCATCACCGACTCAATGGACATGAGTTTGAGCAAACTCTGGGAGTTGGTGATGGACAGGGAGGCCTGGCATGCTGCAGTCCATGGGGACACAAAGAGTCGGACACGACTGAGCAACTGAACTGAACTGGGGAACTAAGATCCCAGAAGCCTCGGGGTGTGGTCAAAAAAGAAAAAAATCAGGAAAAGATCCCCAGATGGCAGGGCTGGTAAGTCTAGTAAGTGGTAGAGGAGGAAGTAAAGGACCTTCCTCTTTTGACTCGAGAAGCCACTCTAGTTGTAGGAAAGGGAATGCGCTGACGCTAACTGTCCCTGGGTGGGGGAACTCCTTTGCCTGAATAAATTCCCGTCATCCGGAACAGCCGTTGGCCCAGAATGGGTGTTCAGTTCATGGAGCAGCAGGAAGGAAGGAGGGAGGGAGGAACAATGGACAGAAACCCTGTCAAAATTGGACTCTTGACCTGTAACTGCAAAAGGCCAAACAGCTCTCATATAATTAAAAAAACTTTTTTTACCAAATATTTTATATACTCGCTGGCCCCTTGTACAATTTAAATCACCTTCACTTTACTAGGCCCTGCTTAATAGCTGAATAACTGTTATGCAGTCTGCTTTTCTCTAACTAGCTGTGTGACCTTCGGCAAGTCACATAACCTCAGTGAGTCAAGTCACCTCCTCTCTAAGCCTCGGTTTGTTTGTTTATTTATTTATTTTTGATGTGGACCATTTTTAAAGAGGACTTCCCTGGTGACCTAGTGGTAAAGAATCTGCCTGTAATGCAGGCGACTCAGGTTCGACCCCGTGGCTGGGAAGATCCCCTAGAGTAGGAAATGGCAACCCACTCCAGTGTTCTTGCCTGGGAAATCCCATGGACAGAGGAGCCTGGTGGGCTACAGTCCATGAGGTCGAAAGAGTGAGACACGACTCAGACTCTGAACCACCACTATTTTAAAAGTATATATTGAAATAGTTACAATACTGCTTCTGTTTTATATTTTGGTTTTTTGGCCATGATGCATGTGGGATCTTAACTCCCCAACCAGGGAATGAATGTGAAACCTCTGCATTGGAAGGTGAGGTCCTAACCACTGGACTGCTAGGGAAGTCCCCAAGACTCAGTTTGTTTTACCAGTAAATAAGACGGTTAACCAGTGAGCAGAAGATCTGATTAGACATGTCACCAAGAGAGATACCAAATCGCCAACAGGCATGTGGAGACAGAGTCAACATTATCACCCATCAGCAAATGAAAATGAAGCACAAACGTGATACTACTACATACCTTCTGGAATCACAGGACCGAAAAAGGTGATTGGTTGATCCTGAATGATGGAAGGATGTGAAATACCTGGAATGCTTATTCGTTGCAGGTGAGAATGTGAACTGTGAGAACCACTGGAAAACGGATCGGCAGTATTTCCTGAAGCTAGACCTCACTCCTAGCTGTATCCCCAAAGGAAATGTCAAGATGTATTTACCAAAAGGTATGTAAAAAAGAAAGAAAGAAGTGTTAGTTAGTCAGTCGTGTCCAACTCTTTGTGACCCCATGGACTGTAGCCCACCAGGCTCCTCTGTCCATGGGGATTTCCCAGGCAAGAACACTGGAGTGGGTTGCCATTTCCTTCTCCGGGGAATCTTACCAACCCAGGGATATAACCTGGGTCTCCCATGTTGCAGGCAGATTCTTCACCGATTGAGCCACCTGGGAAGCCTCAAAAGATATGGTTAAGACTGCTTAATCAAAATGGCCAAAAAGCATTTGATTCCCTATCAACAGTAGACTGGCTAGGGACTCCGCTGACAGTCCAGTGGTTAAGATTCCACATTCCCAATGCAGGGGGCATGGGTTCGATACCTGGTCCCATATCTAAGATCCCACATGCCACACAGCAAGGCCCAAAAAAAACAAAAAGTGTAAAGGATGAATTGTAGCAAGAGTGTATAGTAATATGCCAATAGAAATAGGAATAAATAATTTACAGTTGTACACAACACGGATGGAACTCACAAATAATATTGAGCAAAGAAAAAAACTAAAAAATACTGAACAAAGACAGATACAAAATAGTACATTCCACATATTTAAAAGGAAAAAACAGGTACAACTAATCCATGCTATTAGAAGTAGGATAGTGGTCACCTTTGGGGAGGGGTATGAGAAGGTGATCCAAGGGGGCCCTGGGGTGTTCACAGTATTCTATTCTTGATCTAGGTACTAATGATAAAGGTGTTCTGTTTGAGAAAATGCACCCAGCTACACACATCTGATATACTCAGGTTTCTGTGTTTATTATACTGCAAGAAAATTTTGTAGAAGAGGGGAATGGGCACCTTTTATGTCCTTTACGGCTTCAGCTGGGGTATAACTATCTCATTGTGTCAGGCACTGAGTCAAGTGCCTTCCACATGAACTCCTGCGTCGTCCTCTCTTTAGTCTTCTGAGCTGGGCACCGTGGTGAGGAAACTGAGGCCCAGAGACATGGGTACCTGCCGAGCTCACATATCGACTGAGGATGGCAGTGGCTCTGAAGCCGGCCACTCAAAGGTCAAGGCCTTACCTGCAGTCCTTGACAAGCACAGCCCAAGGGAACCAGGAGGCATTAGGTGTGGCCAGAGCAACCCTACTGGGTGTCACCCCCTTTGTCTCCATAACCTGACTCCTTCTGAGTTTTTCTTCTGGTGGGAGGAGGGGGCCTTTTCTCTTTCCCTGTTTTTCTTTCCGTGGATCTGTGTTTTCCCACCTCCTCTTAAACTCTTAGATGCTTTCCTTCAACTGACCATAAGATAGAATTAGGTTTCTAAATGTATTGATTATTTCTATGTTAGCTAGCTCAAAATTCTAACAGCCTGTTAAATAAGTTCTTAAGAGTTAGTTCTAAAAAGACAAATACATTAAGCTGCTCAGTTCAGTTCAGTCGCTCAGTCCTGTCCAAGTCTTTGCAACCCCATGGACTGTAGCACACCAGGCCTCCCTGTCCATCAACTCCCAAAGCTTGCTCAAACTCATGTCCACTGAGTCAGTGATGCCATCCAGCCATCTCATCCTCTGTCCTCCCCTTCTCCTCCCGCCTTCAATCTTTCCCAGCATCAGGGTCTTTTCAAATGAGTCAGTTCTTTGCACCAGGTGGCCAAAGTATTCGAGTTTCAGCTTCAGCATCAGTCCTTCCAACAAACACCCAGGACTGATCTCGTTTAGGGTGGACTGGTAGGGTCTCCTTGCAGTCCAAGGGATTCCCAAGAATCTTCTCCAACACCACAGTTTAAAAACATCAATTCTTCGGTGCTCAGCTTTCTTTATAGTCCAACTCTCACATCCATACATGACCACTGGAGAAACCATAGCCTTGACTACATGGACCTTTGTTGGCAAAGTAATGTCTCTGCTTTTTAATATTCTGTCTAGGTTGGTCATAACTTTCCTTCCAAGAAGGAAGTGTCTTTTAATTTCATGGCTGCAATCACCATCTGCAGTGATTTTGGAGCCCCCAAAAAATAGTCTGTCACTGTTTCCATTGTTTCCCTATCTATTTGCCATGAAGTGATGGGACAGGATGCCATGATCTTAGTTTTCTGAATGTTGAGTTTTAAGCCAGTTGTTTTACTCTCCTCTTTCA